ATTAAGGAGCTGGAAGTAACAGAACTGTACCTTTGTGACTGGGCATTTTTCGACTTTCAACAGCCTGGGGATGTGTTGGTTCCAGAAAGCGACCTCTTCTGTTTTCAGCTGTCTTTTTATGTTGAGTTTGGACAGGTTGATGTCCAGTTGAAGATATTGTGAGGTCCTTTTGTTATATTTGGGCCAGGTAACTGGTACTTTCATTGGTGAATTTGGATTTCTAAAAATGATAATGAATAAGTTATTTCATCAAACATTTTCAATTCTACCCAAGTTTCAAGATACAGTGGAGCCCCATTATAACGTGATGGTTAATGATCCATAAAATTCCAAACAGCGCTATAAACAGGGTGTGATCACTGCTCTACTCCTCTGCACAACAACAACAACTTGGATTTATATAGTGCCCTTCACGCCGGATGGCATCTCAGAGCGCTTCCACAGTGACGGATCCCGGGGCTGAGCCAGGGGGAGGGGGAGGAAGGTGACCAAAGGCGCTGTCGAAAAGAAAGGTCTTCAGCAGAGACCTGAAAATAGGAAGAGAAGGAGTGAAGCGAAGGGAGTGAGGAAGGAAGTTCCAGAGCCTCGGTGCATAGTGGCTGAAGGCACGGTTGCCGAGGGTGGAGCGGAGGACTCGGGGGACAAGGAGGAGGCCAGACCCGGAGGAACGAAGACATCGGGTACTGTTTTGAGGAGAGAGGAGGTCAGAGAGGTAGGGGGATGCAGAGGAATGCAGGGACTTGAATACAAGGATGAGGATCTTGAAGTCGATCATCTCTGGGACAGGAAGCCGTTATCATGACTACTTTGAATACATGACTGGTGACATGAATGTAAATATGCGTGGATAGCTGTCCAGCTTCCAGCACTAACAATGACCAACTTCCAGGCTGTTATGTCATCATTGACCTTTTATTGCATACAACATACACATATAGAAAACCACTGGCTCTGCAATGCACATAGTATAGCATATACTATACTATATACCAGCATTGTAGCACGAGTATTGGACTTGAGGTATAGATCAGCCGTGATCTTATAGAATGGCGGAACAGGCTCGAGGGACTGAATGGCCAACTCCTGTTTCGATGTTTCTATGAGTAGTTTAGGTTGCGCTTTGTCATTACTGCCCATAAACAGTGCACAGGAATGACATTGTCAGCAACCAGATGACCCAGAAGTTGCCCATTTTATAGTGCTGTAAACCAGCTGTGGGTCGACAGGGCACCCATCTTAAGCAATCTCGTATTGTATTGTAATTCTATCATCTGCAACCAGGGCTCACTCTTCCTCCCCATCCTCCTCGACCTCTCTGCTGCCTTCAACACTGTTGACCACTCTATCCTCATCCACGGCCTCTCCTCTCACCTCAACCTTCATGGTTCTTTCTGTCCTTGAATGGTTCAGATCGTACCTCTCACCCCACCTCCATTTCATCTCAACAAACGGTTTCTCATCTAGCCCTCACACAGTCTCGTGTCGTGTTCCTCAGGGATTCATGCTCTTCAATATCTATATGCTCCCTCTTGGTGAGTTGGAGCTGAGGATCATCCAGAACTCTGCAGCCCATGTCCTCTCCAGCATCAGGCTCCGTGACCCCTATCATCCCCAGGTCCTCACCTTCAAAGCTCTCCATGACCTCACTCCCCGCTATCTCTGCAACTTCCTAAGCCCCTACCATCCTGCTCGCTCCCTCCGATCAGCGGACTCCAGCCTGCTTCACATCCCCCACCTCACCCACTCCACCATTGGTGGACGGGCCTTCTGCCACTCTGCCCCTACCCTCTGGAACCCCATCCCACAGTCCCTCCGCCTCGCCCCCTCCCTTGTCTCCTTCAAGACCCATCTCAAGACCCTCCTCTTCAACCATGCTTTCAATCACCCTGCTTCCCCCCGCCCTGTACCCTCCCCAATTCCAAACCCCAATTTGAATCCAAAACACTGACTGTCCAGCTCCCCGGGACGTCCTCCCGACGTGAAACGGTGCTATACAAATGTAATTTTGTTGTTGTTGTTATAATGGATCCTTATTCCAATCTGCTCTGTTGCTTAGCGTTTTTCTATATTGTAAAGCTAGCACAGCTGCAGAATAACTGTGAGTAAACTGGAAGACTGTAATCTGATCAACAGACATTCTGCTAACATCATGAAGTGCGAGTGCAAAGCTCAAATGGTTTATGACCATCATTTAAGCCCCAGGCATACATTATAGCTTTGAACTCATTCCCAGGTATCCGTTATTTTTTAAAGTATACTGTTTCATGGGGAAAGGGAGAGAGCATGAGTTATGTTATTTGCATGAGCTTCTGCTCTTCATGCTCTATATCAAGTGATATAGTGACTCTATTGTCCCCATCCTCAACCCTCTCCACTGGCTCCCTATCCCCCAGAGGATAGAGTTCAATCCTTGTCCTCGTCCTCGCCTTCAAAGCCCTATTTGGCTTTGCTCCCTCCTACCTCTGTGACCTGCTAACTCCATTTGGACCTGTCCACTCCCTCCTCTCAGCAGGCTCCAGCCAGCTCCACGTCCCCACCTGGCCCACCCCACCATCGGCAGTCGGGCCTTTAGGCTTTCTGCCCCCACCCTTTGGAACATCTCACAGTTCCATCGCCTCACCCCCTTCAATACCTTCCAGCGGTGGAGAAAGTAGGATTAAAGGAGATCGCAGAGGTAGCGTGCACGTATTTAGTGACTAAATTTAGTATTTGGTAAAGCAGACACAAACTGTGATGTTGGATAGGGGAATTTGCCTGCAATGTATCACTTCACATTTGTGTCAATGGATTTTCTACGTCTTTGATCTGATTTTTTTCTTGTTGAGTTTTTTAAATGAATTCACGTCGGGCTCCCCATGAGATTCTTAGAGAAATCAATGAAGGAGAAAAAAATACATTTCATAGGATTTATATCACGCTAAGTACTCTGCACACATTCTCTTCACCCTTTGACAAGGCGCCTTTAATGTTTTTTTGACACTGGGAACACAATATCAATTACAACTTTCAACATACTCCAAAAAGGTTTCACGATTCAAATGTCAAGCTGTGATACTTCATTAGGATTTAGTATCGCTGTATTTAGATTTGTCAATGCTGTACAAAATACCCTTTATTCGCTTGTTCGATGATATCAGGGAGAGCCTTTTGTTTCAGTTAAGTAAAACCATAGAGTATAACAGGAATTAATTGAACATTAGCATTTGATAGTTCTGTAATAATGTAACCACAACTTTAATCCCTAAATACCATGGGGATAAGGAGACTGACTATGCTGACCAACTCTTGTGCAGTACTGAAGGAGTGTGGATTTGCTGGAGGAGCCATCCTTTGAATGAGACGTTGAGACGTTCTTGTCTGTCTGTCCTTCACATGGATGTTCAAGGTCCCGTGATATTATTCAAAAACAGAAGGGACATGGCAAATGTTCAAGTCAACAATCCTGATTAAATTGATGTGATAAAGTTCTTTCTTTCAACTGCTTACAGCCACTGCTGGTAAAAAAAACTGCAAGCTTAACTGAATAACATCTCCATTGCTCACAACCTTCATGTTATATATCAAACAGAAGATATCCTGAAGTGATTTATGGGCTGTGAGAGATCTCTAGATTAAGATGATGGTAATGAGCTACTTAAACATTGCTCTCTTGTGGTTTATGATCTCATCTGAACTTACATTACTCCCTTGTAATTGTTCCCAGCTGTTTATTATTTGCTATTTATGTATTAAATGTTTCCTAAAACCCTGATAACATTGAGTATGGAACATGAATCCCTAGACACTCACCAACACTAATATTTCAAAGCATTAGTGAACTATTTGCTCTTTGTTCTGGTTGTTCAAATACATTTAACGCTGAGTGGCAAAGTATCTGTGTCATATTCATTGCCTAAAAAGGAATAAGCAAAGGGAAAAGGAAATGGGACCAAAGGATTGTTCTTAAAAGAGCCAGCACAGATACAAAGGGCTTCTTATGTGCAGTAAATTTCTATGGTTTTACGGTTCATTAGCATGCATAACGCTATTTTGAAGTTTCACTTCACTTTTAGAACAAAAGATTTCCATAAATTATTTTTCACGTATTACTTCAATCTCGTTAATCATTGAAGCAGAATCATCATGGTACAAACAATCAATTCATCCTTTCCGATTATCGTTCAAAAAGCACAGTAAAAATAATCTTAGAAGAAATATTTTTTAGTCTTTACAGAGTACTATGCTCAGACACAGCATGGTGCCACATTAGTGTGAAGTTTCTATGCACTTTGCAATGCACTTAGTGAATTCAGCTACATAAGAGAGCACACAGCAAGAAAGAGTCCTTTAGCCCATTAACCTTGTTTTACCACTAGCCTGCAAAAATCTATTCTATCATGAACTCCAAGCTGCGGCGAGGTCTTTATTATAGATACACCCCGAACACCAAAGACAATCAAACTAAAACTGCAAAATATTTATCTATCTCCACATCCATCAATTCAATCGTGCACTGTGCCATATTTAATATATATGAACAAGTAAAATATATACAATAATATACGAGTAAAGTTGTATGAGCAACTACATACATTGCTCTGCTAGGACATTGGGAGAAACTCTCTTTTCAAATAGTACCACAGGATCTTTACGTCCACCTGAACTAAGCAAACAGGACCTCAGTTTTATGTTTCTATTAAGGATGGCATCTATGACAATCCAGCAAACCCCCAGCACTGCACTAGAGTATCAGCCTCGACTATACGAGTTCAAAGTTCCAACGTGGGGCTTGGACTCATAACCTTCTGTCTCAGAGGCACATTTGCTACCAACAGAGCCAGGCTGAAACTTCTATATTTTTGTTATAGTTACACAATGCCAACCACTTTACAATATATTCTGTGAAATGAGATGAGATGTCTCAATGATGTGATAAGGCACAATATCAAATGCAAAGATTATTATTAACCAAAATTTAAGTTCAATTACATCCTGAGGCATTTTTTCTAGTGCTTATAAACTTACCCAGTTTTGGCAAAATTTGTCCAATATGACATTATTTGTTGGTTCAGTACATGTTCCTCCTCTCCTATAAGTGGTCCTCCAAATATTGGTATCCCAAATACAAACGCAAGCTCATCGCCATTCCCTGCTCCGATCCATTCAGGGAAGACAGATGCATTAGGTCGCCTAGTAAAATAATATACATAAACTTTGCTGGCTTTTGTTATGAAGTCACCTGTCATAACCAATGGTGCAACAAAGCCCACATCACCAACTGCATCCAGTGTTTGTCTCTGGATGTGGAATGAGCTGTAATTCAGGTCCATCCAGTCTCTGTATTGCCACAATATAGCATCAGACACAGTCTTCTCTGTTCCTGCTTGAAAAAACGACATTATGTAATTGGCAAAATCAGCTTGCGATTTGATCTCTTTTATCCATGGCCAGAAAGCACTTCCTTCATGACTATTGACCCCTGCCATATAGGAGAACCGTTTCACTAAGCTTGTATTTTCAGAGAGTTCTAGTGGTGTTTTAGGAAGAAATGATCCATCCACCGTTGGTACAAATGTAAAGTTAAAGTTGGTCAGTTGAATGGCACCTTTAATGAGCTCCAGAGTTTTTTTTCTTTGTAGGCAACTGATGAGCTTTAGGCTATTAGCAACTGGGCAAGATACAATGGAAGCAAGTTTTTTCACCCAGAGGAGAGGATTGTCCAACCTTGTTGCCCAGGGTGCAATAGCTACCCCACTATCTAAAATTGCTTGTTTAAAAAGCCCCGAACTGAGTGGTGATAGACAATGCAATCCAACACTAGCACCTCCTGCAGACTGTCCAAATATTGTGATAGCATCTGGATTGCCACCAAAATGCTTGACGTTGGCTTTTACCCACAGTATTGCAAATCGTTGGTCAAGAAGTCCACTGTTACCGACTGCAGCACTGTCCCCTGTGGAAAGAAAGCCAAACACTCCTAATCTATAATTGATGGTCACCACAATGACTTGCCCAAAGTCAGCCAGTACGTGAGCCTTGTAGTTTCCAGAACCGAGGACAAAGGCCCCTCCATGGATCCACACCATCACAGGCAACAACTCACTGTTAACGTCTGGAATTCTCTCTTTATGGGGAACGTAGATATTCAGCCAAAGACAGTCTTCTTTGCCAGACAACTGACCAGAAGATAGAAGCTGTTGAGGACATATTGGGCCAAATTTGATTGTATCAAGAGGCTTCTTCCATCCGGGGTGTGGTTGGGGAGGTTGGAATCGAAGGGATTTCACGGGAGGAGCAGCATACGGTATTCCAAGATAGCATTCCACACTTCTGTTGTCCCATTGCTCCAATTTCCCCCTAACCAAACCCAATGTTGTTTGTCTAGTGAAGTTACTGGAAACTGGCAACATATAAAAGCCACAAAGAAGAATGAAAATTCCACAACTCATCGTGGCAAAATCTAGTAGACCAAGCCTCTCAGAGCATTTGCTGTCTGTTAAAAAGTCTTACCAGTTGTTACCTTTCCTTATCAGTTGAAACTTTAATCTTTGGTCTCATCCATGTGGACGTGAATTGCTGTATAATATACTTTAGAGATTAGATAAGTTTTTTTGAATAAATTCACAATTGAATCACAAAAATGGATAGCCTACCTTTTAAACTTTACAAATCTCATGAAGCATAAAATATGGGTGAAGTAAATACTGTTATAGAAAGAATCAATTATACAATCTGTACAGATATGTATCTATGTATATGGACACTCCAGCGTTTAAAACATGTATGTTATGATCACAAAACACAGTGACTGCACTTTACTGCATATCCCTCCAAAACAAAACAAGAATAAAAATCGGTCATTTTCAATCTACGACTGTTTGTGGGACATTGCTGTGCGCAATTGGCTGCCACGTTCGCCCACAAATATACAGTCAATTCACTTTACAGTGTGTTCTGTGAAGCGCTTTGGGACGTCCTCCCGACGTGAAAAGCGCTATATCAAATGCAAGGATTATTATTATGCAAGGATTATATCCTGTGAACTGCTTTGAGATGTCCTTCTGACATGAATGGTGCAATACCAAATGTAAGGTTTATTATTATTATTATTATTATTATTATTATCACCATCACACAGTTATTGATGTTCAACATTAAATCTTAGTTCATTAGAGATCACAAAAACAATTTAAATAATGAAGACCTTTAGAGGCATTTGATCTCATCCTTTCAGAATAACCTAAGCTTTTGCTGGTTCCAAGCATTGAACACATCAAGGATAGCCTAATTTTCTTCCCATTTTCTCACCTCTCCTGAAGGAGTTATGGTATGGTTCCATTGGTCCCTCATGTATCCTTCCTTATGATCAGTTGGTAGGACTCTTGTCTGTGAGTTGGAAGGTTTTTGGTTCAAGCCCTATATTGGGACTTGAAAGCTGACATGCTGACATTTCAATGCAGCCCTGGGGGCGTGCTGTATTGTTGGAGATGCCATCCTTCTGATGAGATGTTAAACCAAGGTCCCATCTGCCTATACAGGTGGATGTTAAATATCCCATGCCACTATTTGAAAACAGAAGGAAGTTTCTCCGGTGTCCTGGCCAACAATCCCCCAAATAAAATTAGACATTCATTTCATGGCTGTTTATGGAACATTACTGTGTGCAAACAGGCTGCCACCTTTGCCTATAAATACATAGTCACTAGACTTGTAAACTCTTGTGAAGTATTGTATTGTTTTTATACAGGATTTAAAGACAATTGGGGAAGATGAGATGAAGAGGTAGGAAGAGGGAGTTCCAGAGGGTGGGGGCATAGTGGCTAAGCTGTTTCACAATGGCATTTATTGCAAGAAGGGATGGGAGCATTATATTTTCCTCATGTGGTTTGAGATTATGTGTCTTTAGAAGTGCCATTTATAGCCCGTGTTATCTCTCTAGGCAGGGCTCCAGCTCCTATGTTGTAACTGTGGTTATCTCTAATGTTATCCCAGAGGATAGAGTTCAAAATCCTAGTTTTCGCCTTCAAGGGCCTCCGCGACCTTGCTCCTTCCTACCTCTGTGACCTGCTGACCCCATATCAACTTGTCCACACCTTCCGAAAAGCAGGCTCCGGCCTGCTCCACGTCCCCCACCCGGCCTGCCCCACCATTGGCGTTTGAGCCTTCAGCCTCTCTTCTCCCACCCTTTGGAACTCCATCCCACATTCCCTTCACCTTGCTCCCTCCCTTGCCTCCTTCAAGGCACTTCTCAAGACCTTTCTCCTCGACCGTGCCTTCAACAACCCTCCTACCCCTACCCTCCCTGTCCTCCACTCTTCCTTATTCCAACACTCCCCAGCTCGGGTCCAAATCCATGACTGTCCATGCACCTTGGGATGTTCTCCTGACGTGAAAGGCGCTATACAATTGTAATTTTGTATTGTATTGTTTCTGTTAACAACTTGGCCTCTGGACTGTGACTGTTTAAAAAGTTAATGGGCACCATTGCAGTTACTAAAACTTTACACTTTGTAAATGTATATATCCCTGCAGCAACAGCTAGATTTGAGAAAGCTTGATTGTCACTTGCAATAAGATCTAGACTAAATCTGTAATGTAGCCTTTAACCTTAAAACAGGGCCAAAGAATAATGATTGCTCGGAGTGATTCCCTGAGAGTCACCTAACCAAACAAAGTTTAGGTTGATTTATAGTATTTCTTAACAAATGTATAATTATTGCATTTCTAAAACATTGATTGTGTTGAAGGTATGTTTAAATTTAATATGGCTAATTTTTCTTTGTAAAGTCTCCCCATTGGCAGATGCCTCACTGCTCCTTGTCTGGCCTTCACTTGCTCTACTGGGGTTCCACAGTCATCCGCCGAGTGACAATTGCTCACGCGTGAGCCTTAGCAATGAGTGTCAGTGAATCACTCAACTGGACTGTAGAGAGTACCACAACTGAGATTGACTTCTTTCGACCTGATTGCCTAATACACACACATAGAAAGTAGAGGGTGCTGAAGAGAGACCTCTTTGTGGTCAGCCAGGTTTCTGACACATATGGACACCCGTCACCATGCAAAGAGTATTCAAACCAGTCAGAGAGTTTCACATATGTGTGCACCTACAAATGGGAATTTCCCTGTGCCTAGAATGGAATGTGCACCAACACATTACCCTCAGTACTGTATTGGAGTGTCAGACTAGACTATGTGAGTTCAAAGTCCTGACTTGGCCTTGAACCCAGAAACCTTTGAGTCAGAGGTTACAGGGTTAACAACTGAGCACAGGCTGACATCTAATGTAACTGAGAGGCTCAAGTAAATGCAGATACTTAGTTCAGTATTGCAATGCTGACAATGGCCATTGTTTATAATAAGCATTGAACAAAAGGGAACAATTTTAACACCAGTGGCTCAACTACATCAATGAAGCAAATGACTTGGAGATGAATCCAATTACTTTCATCAGCTACAACAACAACTTGCACTTATATAGTGCCCTCCAGACAGGATAGTGTCTCAGAGCGCTTAACAGTGGTGGAGCCTGACTTTGAGCCGGAGTGGGTGGGGATGTGGGAGGTGACCGTAAGCACAGTTGAACAGGAAGGTTTACAGTTGGTACTTGAAAAATGGGAGAGGGCAAGGCGGAGGGATTGAGGGAGAGTGTTCCCGAGTTTCGGGGCATAGTGGTTGAAAGCACAACCTCCATTGGTGCAGAGGAGGATTCGAAGGACGAGCAGGAGGACAGTGGCAGTCGAGTGGAGGCGCTGGGTGGTGGTTTGGGGAGTGAGGAGATCGGAGAGGTAGGGAGCTGCCAGAGAGTGAATGGATTTGAACACAAGTGTGATGATCTTGAAATCGATCCATTCAGTGATGGGGAGTCAGAGGAGCCTGGCCAGAACTGGTGAGATTGGTGAGAGTTCTGAATGAGCTGGAGTTTTTGAATAGTGGAGCTGGGAAGACCGGCGAGGAGTGTGTTTGAATAATCCAGGCGGGAGATGACAAATGCACCCGCGAGGGTTTTGGCTGCATTTGGGATGAGGTACGGTGGGAGGCGGGCAATGTGGCAGAGGTGGAGCTATTACTGAATTGTAAAGGAGTGGGAGTGTTGTCACGCTCACACCAGGGCAATTCTCTCTATTTTGCACAATTGCTACTATCTTGCATAATCTAGCCAATAAAATCGGTTAATCATGCTGTACGAGGAGGTATCAATGATTATCAGGCCCACTGTTTATGGCACCTTGACAGAGAGTCAGTTGCTGATGTTCCAATACTGTGCTGGGGTGTGCTAATGTACTTTGGATGAGCTGTTAAACCAAGGTCCTATCTGCCTGTTCACGTGGAAATTAAATATCCCAGGGCACTATTTGAAAGAGAAATTTCCTGGCCCCGAGTCCCCTCATTCACTTCATGACTGTTTGTGGGGACATTGCTGTACACAGATTTGGCTGCAGGTTCCCCCACAAAATACACAGTCACACCACTCTACAGTAAATTGTGTGATGTGCTTTAAGACGTCATGATAAACACTATTTCAAATGCAAGAATTATTATTATAAGTAAAAATCTGATTGTATTACACAGAATGCTAGAGTTTCTGTCCGTGTTAAGGGGATGACATTCTAGATTTATCTAGTACTTTAGCTGTCGCTGATCCCCAGACCCATTGTGGAGCTTGGCGTTGTATCGCCTGAACATGGTGAAACAAACACCGGAAGGTCTTCAAATGTGCTTAAAGAAAGCAAGACATGTTAAAAGACAGTAGTTAGAGCACTCGCTTTGCAAGTGAGAGACCTGAGTTCAATTCCAGGCAGGGCGAAACCTAGGGCAAGTTTCCTTACTCCACACGCCTAATAATAATCCCTCCAAAAACAATAATAAATTGGTCATTTTCAATCTACGACTGTTTGTGGGACATTGCTGTGTGCAATTGGCTGCCGCGTTCGCCCACAAATATACAGTCAATTAACTTTACAGTGTGTTCTGTGAAGCGCTTTGGGACGTCCTCCTGACATGAAAAGTCCTATATCAAATGCAAGGATTATTACTATTATTATTATTATGAAGAAGCAAGGAAACCAAAACATAGTGACTTTTAGGAATAGGAATGGTTATCGGGAATGGAGAGAACAAGGAGAGGAGGGAGCAGGTTGGAGAACGTGGAACAATTTTAAACTTGCTGAAGAGTTGGGTAAATTGCAGGCTTCAAACATAATCCTCCAGATTGCCAACTGTATTCATAGTTCTACCTGCCTTCCTGTGGCCCCACCTTTCTTTTCCAGACGCTGATTTATCCAGTGTGTTTTTCAAACATTTTTATGCCTCATTTCCAATTTCTAGTACTGTATCCACGAATGTTTAAAATCTCGCTGTTACACTTGCCCCTATTTGACATATTGTGGAGTCCTGTAGCTCAGTGCTTAGAGCACTCAACTTACAAGCAAGTGACCTGGGTTTGATT